CCTGCTCTGCAAAGCTTTCCATCTTCACAGTTTCACTGCATCCAGACAACCAGACACTGAAGTTGCACCTGCCTGAATGCACCACCTCAGATAAATGAGAAATGTACTACATGACTAGCCGCAGGTGCGAGAACAATACTTTAAATTAAATAGATGAATTTAGGAAGTGGAAGAATGCTCAGTGCAGCTGACAGAATGGATGGCATGAAACCAGACAGGAAGACAGAAGTGGCCGTGTCATGGCACAGCACGGCCACCTGCCGCCACCCCAGCACCCCATCCCACGGCAGCCGTGGGAGAAAGAAATTCCATGGGAAAGAAGCACAGAACTGATGGACTTGCAGGACCTGATCCAGTGACATAGATCTATGTGATCAGACTGTTGACAGGAACTGAGCCAATTAAGCCAAACCCCAGGCATTTGCAAGAGTAACGCATTACAGTGATGCAGTGGTAACATAGAGGGGAAAGCTCATTTGGCAGGTGAACTATGGAGACTTCAGCTCTCAATGTGAATGAGCATTACTTATCAGCTTTACAGTGCCACAGGAAGAATGAAGGATCCTTTCAACTATCCCAAATAGGACTAATCAACGAGTAGTAACATCTGCAGGAATTCTGAATCACCACCAGCACCTCCGCATGACTCAGAACAGAGGATCTAAATGGCAAGTTATATTCACATAGTTTAAAACCCGCATGTGAAGGCTGCCCTTGGACACTGACCCATTTCAGATCTGATCTTTGTCCAGGATGAAGGTTAACTCCCAACAGACCTACAAGCGGAGAGAGCAGACATACCACTACCCACCTCCCCTCCTGCACGAGCTGCAGGTAGAACTCAGGCCAGGAAGGTGCTTACCTGGATGCTGAGTCCAGAGAGGGATGGGGGATGAGCCATACTACCCAGAAGTTCGCACCACAAAAGCCAGCTCAGGAGAACAACTTCCGTAGTTTCAGGAAGTTACCCGCATCAAGCCAACAAAGAAGATTCAGAAGTCAGAAAGCAATACAAGCAAGTGCTTTCACGGGCATCCAAACGCCCGATGCCAATTCCCAGTGGCTGGCTGTGAGTTCCAAGCACAGCTGCCCTCGACGGTCAGAGCGTGTGTACGTTCCCTCTCCCGCATCTGTTCTGGTGCCTAAATAAAGGTTGAGTTTATGCTGTCATCTTCCCATGAAGCTCGTAGAAACTTAATTATTTTTGAGACATTCCCTCCCCCCACTCATTGCCAAAAATGACTGAAGTCTGCCAACAGATTCAAAAGTAATTAGAGGAACACACACACAGGCAGCGAGATTATCCCAGACACCTTTCCTTTGAAAACCAAGCTAAAATCCACAGTATTGTATTTATTAAAACAGTCCCCCAAGGTCAGATTTGTGACTGCTGTACTTCTGTTATTGGCAATGTGGCAGATTTTAAAAACAATTTTTGGAGGATTATATTCAGTTTCTACAAATCAGATTGATTTCACTCCTTCTAGCCACAAGCAAGCCATTTAGGAACGCTTTTCCTATCGGTTAAACAGGGACGATAAGTACTTACCTGCCTCAAATGCAGTCTGTATGCAAACATAAACAGTAGTTTGAAGATCTTATAAGCACTGCTCTACATAAAAAATAATTATTATAAATATTGCTGCAGGATTGGTGCATACACATTTTATTCTTTTTGAATGGCCACAACCTTTTAAAAACAGAAGCACAACAGAGGTCTAATCCTCATTTATACTTAGGTGTGATTCAGAGAAAATCATTCATTTAGCAAATCTTTTGCCAAGGTAGCTTTCTGCTGCAATTTAACTCTCAATACTTACTAAAAGAGCATATTTTACTGGACAGTTTAATTACTTTTAAGAAGCATACGTGACGAAGAAATAATAGGCTGGAAAAAACTTCAAGCAGGCCTGCCTCAAACATTCACTTCTCCATCAATGCTCACTGGATAAAAATACATCTCCTTACCCCTTGAATTCATCTGAGTCATGCCACCAAACACTGAAAGGCCAGAAGGAAACTCTGCCAGTGCCTCCAACACATCCAGACCCATTCATCTTCTTGCTCCCTGCTGCCTTTGTGAAACCTCACCAGCACACTCATACACACCGCTGCATCAAGAGGAAAACCTGCCATGCTGCTGCCTGCCTCAATGCTGGTCACACGGGGATGACAGCTTTCTTAGCACCTGCAGATGTCCACAGATGGCATGTGCACTTCATGCAAGGTGAGGAAATCAAGGAGGCTATGGCAAACGAGCACAAACACTTTGGTCTTTGAAAAGGACAGGCACCACGAGAAAGGTATCAACACTCCTCACAAGCATTGCAGACTCTCTCACACCCCCCCAAATATACACTGGAAGATGATTTTTGGGCACAAAACCATCCTTACATGCTACACAACATTTAGACATTAGTACAAGGGGCCACTACCTGCTTCACCACTCCTTCCTTCCCACCATGCCAGTCCTACATCCCCACCAGTCTGCCCACATAAGGTTGCATTCTAAGTGTTAAATCAATTAATTTGTCAGCTGGGTGAAAAAAAACCTGCAGATCTCTTTCCCCAGTCATCAGTCAAATGATGATCAGCTGCCAAATTGCCCCAAACAAGCAACCCAGGCAGCACTGTCTTCTTAATTACAGAAGATTTTTATCAGCTTACCTGAATGCTTTTTGGATTTGCCCCCTGTGCCCTAATTTGATTCTTTAATTACGAGGAATTAAGAGCCTTTATTTTCAGTAAATGCTGAGAGGGTTGCTGCTCCCTCATCTATACCCAGTAAGTGTTGTATTACAGATTAAGCTAAGGTGCACTGTGATTGTGGAAAACTTTTAAACTTCTAGCCAGTTATTTCCTTTTCCAGCAGGCATTCAAGTTGCAAGACTCTTTCTAACTTAACATATAAGGTATAAAGTATGAAATTAAAAAAATAAAATCACCACTTATTGCTAATTGTATACCTTTTACATACAAATATAATAATTCAAGTGAGAAAACAAGTCAGAAAAAACCAACATTTAATTATAAAAGAGCTTTTTAAATTAAAAAAGATAATGGCACTAAACCAGAAACAAAGTTATTTAAGAGATCATAGCCACAGGGCAGTTGTAATTGTATACTGAAACTGTACAGCTGTTCCTATCATCTGCACTTTGCTCCTGATTAAAATAACATCTAGAGTTCCAGTAACAAGTAATCTTTTACAGAACTATAATGTATTATGAAAACACACATCATTTTTGTATTACATGACAAAACCCCCTTATATTTATTACATTAAATTCATAAATATTTACCTAAGCATTGTACTGGTTTTCTACTCTACTCCTTACATTTAAAGAAGAGAGAATGCGGTTTGTTCTATTGACAAAAGGGATTTGTCTTACAGGGTTTGCCCACAGTGGCACAGTGCTATACCATGTAGGGGTACCCAACCAGAGGGAACATCGAGGGCAGTACAGTCACATTAGAACAATTTCCTATGCTATTGATCCTGCTTTTGAGAATCCTTCAGTGCTTCTTTTCCATATGAAGACAGCCTTCGACTTTAAACAACAATAAATACTTACGCCCCCAAACTTGTTCGTATGCTGTGGATAACTAATGAGTAGATGTCTAATCTTTCTATGACCTTTCAGAGTTCTGTTTCATTGCTTATCTATAAAATGGAGAGTTCCAGTGGTTACTTTGGGAAAAATACAGTCAGGGCCTATATACAAAGCTCTGCAGAAAGGCCCTTTAGTCCTTTAATCAGCTTTGATCAAGTAAAAAAAAAATATTAATTCAGTCCTTGATTGTATGTAGAATGTTCCCTATGAGGTCAACATAATTCTGCGTGTGCACTGAAAGAAAATATTTCATTCCAACGATATAATTTCACAGTAGTTATTTCAGGCAGTCAAGCACACAGGTGTGAGCACTTAGGCATGGCTGAGCTAGTTTACAAATAAATTGTAAGGTGGTACACAAGTTTGTGAGCCCAAACTGTTGCTGTGGGACTGGGGCTCTGGAGCTACAGTCCACAGCTCTTTGTGCTGCAACAAGCCACGTCAGTCTGTAATTCATTATCAGTGAATTCCACAGGGAGCTTTCAGTCCTTCCCTGCAAAGAGAAGGATTTCACCATTGGACTATTAATTTTTGAAGTGGTTTAGACAGCATCTATCAGCATAAGGGAAATCAGAACTTGATTTCTAGACTCGTCCAGGATAGACCAGACATAAAGCTGATGGCAGATCATATCCAAAATGTCCATATGAACTCCACAGTACACCTTTACACTGATTTTGGGTGAAAGGTTTCATGGTTTGCTACCTATGAAACTTAGACTACAGTTTCCCTCCACAGTTATTTCATTCTTCCTGAACGTATCTATTGTACTAGTAATTGGCAGGTTTTGGCAATTCCCAAAATGTAATCTATCAGAAGTCCAAAAACCTTGAAATCAGTGTATGTAACGTGGCTGCATATCATTGCTGAAAAACCTAAAGGTCTTTCTACTGCATGACAATATTCCAGAAAGGACAGTGGCAAGACTGGTGAACTTTAAAAATGACTCACCTTGTCACATCATCCTTTTTTTTTTCCTTTTTTTTTAAAAATAAAATCAAGAATACAATCAACTGGAATAAGAATAAAAAATATTCAAAAGATCTACCAAAAAAGCTGCATAGAAAGCATTTTCACAGTTGTTTTAAAATAGTTTTCATCAAACTTTACCTAGAAAGTGAACAAAATTAGGACTTCCAAAGACAAAATATATTGCATTGCAGTTTTTTCCTTTGAATTTCACACTTACTTGGGAAATTCATATGACTGGGTTTAGGTATTTTTAATACTGTACCATTCAGAAGTGCTGAGCAGGATTTGGTTCTCCAGTGTACTAGCACTGTAAAGACCTATATGAAAACAATTCTACACAAACAGATTGTATATTTCTAATATAAAGAGGTTAAACATCTGTTTGAAAAATAAATCCTTCTGAAACAAAACCTACCAGATGGGAGGTAGATTAGTGCCATTAAAATATTTAAGGTACTTATTCTCATTTCAAATATGAGTGGGAAAAGTGTGCTATCTCCAAAATTTTGCTGCAAGTAAAACTGAAAATTTACTGATAATCACTGTCGGGTTCCCATTACTTTTTTCTTTTCCACTGGATAAGCTTCTATTAATATATATAACACAGCTGAATGTTGAAAGGACACGTTATCCCACACTCAGCCTTACAAAGTAAGTCCACAGGTTGTTCTTTTGCCATTAGTTGTGAGCTTAGCTCTGCTTAGATTTTATAACCCACTCAGCGTTTGGGTTGAGCTGGTATAGGTCCTTCATGTAGGTATCATCATCAAGGCAGCGTTCTCCTAGAAACAGAAGAGATACATGGTTACATCAGTACCAAAAAAGAAAGGAAACTATCTTCAACATTCCTGTCACTGTTTTATTCAATTTAGGTTTTCAGCTAAAACCTAGAAGTGCTCTTACCCTTCCCATCTGCCTTGGGGTGGAAGAGGAACAGAGGAAGAAGGAAGGAGAGTAGGGGCTGTGACAGCTTTGTGGCATGTTCTAAGTCAGATTTTTCACACAGACCATGCACATGGGAGCTCCACTCTGCGAAGGTTTAGGAAAAAAGGAGCAATGCCCTGGTCCTCTCATGGTTAAATCCAAGCACTAGGTTCACATTTGCATAGAAACCCATTAAAATTTCAGGTTACTTTCTCCTTCTCAAATGGAAAGTTTGAGCAAGGTTTGTCCTTGTTAAGAAGGTATTACTCCCTATCCTGCTCCTCTTGGTCAGCAGTTCTGCATGGCACTTGTAATGGTTACTGTTCTAGGAGAGAAAAGTAGTACAGTGTTCTTGGCGCCTTAAAAGCAATCAATTTATGTCTAGTAGCTATGATGAGAATACCACATGATCCATCAAGATCTGCATACTTTTCCCATTCCCCCACAGGCAAAGCATTATCTTATGCAATTGCAGCTCAACATCACAGCCCCTCTCCTACTCCACCGTGCAAGTGGTTGGGGTAGATGGCTTGTGTGCCAGCCCGACATTTCCAGCTCCTGAAGGTGAGTGGAGATGCGATGTTGCAGATGGGTTTGTCTGACGGCTCTTTGGACTCGCTGTGCAGAGCAGGCAAGAAGGCAGGACTCCCTACTCCACTAGGCTCAGCCTCCATCTGCTTGTTCTCCATCTGCTCTCCTTGCCCAGATGCCTATCTTCCCTCTAGGATTTGTATCCCAACCTACATGACCTGTACCGCCCATGCTGCTGAATTAGGCCCTCTCCCCCACACAGCGCAGCATGTTCAGGCAGGGAAAGCACAGGGACTGTGGTTTGCCATGTCCGTATCCAGTCCTGCTCATGAAGCAATGGCAGAAGTCCCGTTCAGTGCCCTGAAGTCCTATAGGGTACTGAGTACTCAAAAAACATCTGGAGACTTCGGCAGCTCCATCCACTAGGGGACAGGATGGCAGGATTGCACATGTTACAGTTATGAGCACAAGTGTAAGCATATCAGTGTATGACAAACCTGTTGAATGTTCTCCCTTTTGGACTCCCTATACATGAGTCAGTCACATTGGGCAGAAAGAGAGAATGGCAAAGATCGAGACAGCTGGTTTACTTAAACCTGTGCAGCAGGTTAAAGTCAGGGTGTTCGTCTTATCGCTACTGATAGTATTAATAAGGACTAGTATTTGTAAGGGCTGATTAAAGTTGAAGTTGTCTGGCAGTAAACTGTTCAGACAGAGGAAACATCTAAGCTTTCTACCCTATTTCATAACAAAACAAAACAAAACAAATCTGCAACTAGCCATGTATTTTCTCTAAGAGACATGCAATTTCTGTCACACGTTTAAAGTGATAGTAGGTTGTTCCAGCTGCACTGGAATTCTGTTACAAAAACTTTTTTATACAATTCTACTTTTTTCACCTCTGTACAATAAACAAGACATTCCTCTGCTTTAAAAAAGTCTTAAGTTTGGGATCACAACCTACTTTAACAGGCATAGCAAATATATGTACGTATTGGATATGCAAAAGAACATATGATACATTAATCTGGTACCCAGTTATCTTAGTAACTTTTTTGCCAACAGACTTAGCAAAACCACTAAAACATATCTGTTGTAGGGAACATAGGAAAGTGTTATTTTTAATTTACTTTAATTCTTTTGATTTAGACATGAAAAAAATTATTTAAAATAGTGATTAAGTAAAAAGGGAAAATGCTAGAAGTAGCAATTTACATACAGGATTTAAACTCGCAGAGTACAGAAGTACTGGATATTCATGGAATTCTATATCTTCAAATAAAGTTTAACAGGTCACAGTTAATGAGAAAAAATTAAATATAAGTCCAATCCAATACTGTTTTCTAGTTCTTTTTTTTTGTTGTTGAGAAGAGCATATGAAAAAAACTGTAATTAGAAACTGATTTCTGATGCAAAAATACTTTTGCATTCATCAAAGAAAATTTCAGAACCGTGTTCAAAATTATCTTTTGGGATCCTTGCTGATCTGCTATTCACCTTAATCAAGAGGGTCTGCAAGACGCAGAGCTGGAAAGACTAATGGTTGGAAAATTTTATCACTAGGCCATCTTTCTGCTTGAGCATTTTTTTCCCCAAAGGAACCTTCAAGCAACGCTCAAATGCAGAGCATGAGGACTTTAAATTCACTTATTACATCTCAGTACAAAAAGATGAATAAGATGAACTTCAAGCACCTTCCTATCCACCCTTTCTGTGCTTCTTCACTGTACATACATATCAGGAACACCTGTTACAGCTGCTGTCTTCCTCTGTGAGAGATAATAAGATACTACTAATATGATGATCACACCAACATCTCTGCTTCCTTCTCCTCAAGGTTAGCTGTCTGCCTTAGTGTCAGGAAGAACTAGGGACAAGGATAAAAATGCAACCACAGTGAAGCCCATGGACAATGTGTCAAGGAAACACATATTCTAGCAAAAGAAGTTCTTCAGAAGCCATTCTTACCAATATTTCCTCCTATTTCATAAAGAAAGACCTCTTCTTTCTTGAGTGTTTGGACGTTTGCACTGTCAGGAAGAAAACACAATGAACAATAATATTGCGAAAGGGCTTGTACAACGGCCACTTAGATGTGTCCGGGAGAAATTATGCTAATTAAGATCAGCAGTGTACCTGTCGTAAATCCCTCGTGTTTATACTCATTTACTGATACAGTGCATGAACAAGAATACCCTTGCATGCTAGTGCAAATGAATAGTCCTGCAAGTGAGCAATACACTATAGAAAAGCAATACACTATAAAATAAGATAGATGTGAAGAAACTGTGGGGTTTAGAAAAGGATTCTATTGTTATTAGCAAGTAGCCTGATATTTACCCTCTGATTTTTCTTTCACTGCTGCTGCAAAAATAAGTATTCCCCTCAAACACTTCATATTTCTGAAAAAGCCTTATGGTTGGGTGGAAGAAACCACATTCTTGCTGGTTTTGATTTTGCTACAACTAAAAGAAGTAAAAAGCAGTCAGTGGAAGAATAAAGTCCCTGTATTACAAAGGGATTCTATTATTCTCACTGCTTAATTGTAATAAAATATGCTAAGGCACAGCCAGGAAATAACTTTCTGTCAAAAGTATAAACCTCTAAAAACAGCATTTAGGAAAAAGCAGCTTCTTAATCTCAACTAGTATACAACATTATTGCTTTAGCATGAATAGTTATATATGACACACTTGTGTGTTAAATATATTTTTATTGCTAAGTCTATTCTGATTTCTTACTTTGCTCATATATGTAACAAATAATGTAAAAGCTTGATTAAAACTTCTCCCCTTCTAAATGGAGTTGGATGACTCAAATGTAGCTTTCCTTTTAAATCACTGCACATGCACGATATTTGCACACATTTGTATCACAATACCTATACTGTTGCTACATATAAATGCATTTTTTTTACAAAATCTTTTTCTTTTCATTATTCCTTTGTTTCCTAGACTTATTTTCTTGGAGTTGCCTTCTATCTTCTCCCCAGAAAGTTACAAAAGTATTCCTCACCCATCAGATTAAAGAGCAGTTAATTTTTTACTAACGACACTCTCATATTCCTGAAGGCTTCATGAGCTTTAATGACATGAGGAGGATTAAGTTGATTCCTCAAGCACATATTCTAATAGGCTAAATTTAGCCCAAAAGTTCAGGAACTTACCTAGACTTAAAGTATTTTAAAACTTTTTTTTTTTTTATGTATAGTATATGAAAGCCACTTCTCCCAAAATGATAACAAAACAAAAACATGTTTGTACCTTTTCTGGCTGAGAAACCTGGCTACTATATCACCAGCTTTCAGTTCTTCTGTCAGCTGTATTGCCATGGAAACTTTCGAAAGATGAGGCGCATGTACCCGTATCACTCCCTGAGGAACATCAGCCTGCAAAGAAATAACAGTGTTGGAACAAAGCTGCAAGCAGCTGGCTTTGATGAGCTTCTCAAAATACAGCATGGAATAAGTAACTTAGTACAGTGCTCTGTAACTACTATCTACTACACTTCGCTGCAGAAATATGCTAACTGCACAGTAATTCAGTAAACTACATCAGACCTTCAAATCTCTTTTTAACAGCAGGGAGAACTTAAGGACAAAAGAACAGTCGTGTTTAATTATTTTTCAAAGATGTTAAGAATAACAATAACAATTACTGCTATATTAAGAACACACTTTGCTTTGATAAGAAGCATATGAGATGGATACGGAAAAGACTTGCTGCAGGCATAAAAGCGAGGCAACCCCCCTGCACCACCCCCCTGCAAAAACTTCCAGAATAAACCTCTCCAGTTTCATTTAATCTGAATTTCATGCCAAAAAGAGAAATCACAAAGTATTCATGGGTCAGTCTACTTTAAGTGATTCCTCTTTTCAAATACCATTTCCTTTCAGAACAGATATTCACCACTGCAGCTTTTTCTCCCTATTTTTTATTCTCCAGAATATATTCAGCTAGTCAACCTGCAGGTCTGACTACATAATGGATTTGTATTTTATTTCAACCCAAAAATCCTTGACGATGAATATCAATCATATTAGTTACAGAAAAGGAGGGCGCCTAAGGACAGTTTTTCTGTTCAACTTGCAGTATCTGACATTTGAAGTTACAAAAGGCATAATTTATTTGTGAATAAGGTCCTAATTTCTGTTCCTGGAAATCTTGAGGTAATTTTTCTATTCGTATTATATTACCATTTACCCAAATGTACTCATTTTGATAGAAGAAGAAATGTAAGAGTCTCAGTAGCCAAGGTTGATTATGACAGTTCATTCTCTTCTTCCCCCCACTATTTACTGCAATTGTAAGGGTGAACATTCTTTCTTCCATAATCAATGAACAAATCTGGGCACCTGTGACTCTAGAATAGCTTCTCTGAAACCATCGGAGTTAAACGAATAGAGAACAAGTATAAATGTGAACACAATCAGAAGCACAGCTTCGTGAGAAAGCTAAAGGCTCATCGCTATAAAAGTGATTGGCTATAGGAAGTAACTTTAACCAACCAACCATTCTATATCCAGTCTTATTATTTATTGATTTAAAAATACTATACATAATATCTAATGTCTAAAGCATTAAGAATCACAAAATTGAAAATTTGCTTTGTCATAATCGTGGAATCAAAGATTAGAAAGGCTGCAGTGGATCTCAAAGAGCAATTCCCTACATTTATCCCTGAATTTGTCAAATCTATTCTTTAAGGCCTCCACCTAAGGAAACAATGGCTTTAGCCATCTGCTAGGAAGTTAAGTCCTGCTTAAAAATCTTTTGTGTCTCTTCAAACTTTTGAAGTCCTGGCAAAAGGAAAGGAAACATGGTTATTTACAGATGTCCCTAACCAGTCTTTCATCAAATTCAGCATGGTAAATTTAAATTGGTTTTCATTTTTATATACAATTCTGCATCATTTTGTCTCAGTTGATGTTAATGGAGTTTTTCCAACCTTCAGCTGGTTAACAGGGTTTTTTTCTATACAGCAGGCATATGATATATGAATTAAAAACCTTCCTGCTTTGAGTATATGAGAGAAAGAGTATGTCCACAGAGCTGTAACATTATGGTCACAGCTCAAACAGAATAATTACTTTGTTTATTCAGACAGAATCATTGTTAGTTCAGCTAATGAATAAATTTTGCCACTTTCACCACCTGCATTTAGAGAAGAACTCATGCTCAGCTGCACAACATGTTCATGGTGCCCAATTACAGAGAGAACGGATTGTGAGCATCACCTAAACCATTCACTGTGCAAGTTGGTAGGAAAGAAACTGTGGCCATAAAAAGTCTAGGAGCGGAGTCCCAGAAGCTGCACAGCACAGTTCGAAACATCCAAGTTAGGGCTCCACATTACAACATATAAGTCAAGTATCTATAGGGTGATTGACAACATGCCGAAGGGTGGGTCACCTATACTATTCAGTTTGCAAGTCCCTTCTCTCCTGCCTCACAGGCTCTCTCAGGATTGAGCTTTACAACGCTGAAACCTCTGGCTGAGTTAGGTACTTACACACTTTAAAAACCTGAAGATACATATGTCCTTAGTTGATGGAAAATACACTGGCCTGCAACATTTAGTCTGCAGCAGGCACAGCAGACATCTGTGAGGTACTCATCTTCTTTCAAACCCTTTCTTTTCAGAGGGACTTGAATCTATATATCACAAAAGAACCACAGATGCTTGGCTATAGCATCTGGGGTGGGTCTCTTCCAGTTTCACCTGTTCCATGTTGCATGACACACTAAAATACTCATCAGGCTAGATGAAGAGAGGAACCAAGTGACTATGCAGTATTTTCACTAATGGCTCAGATAACGGAATATAATATATACTTATTACATGTGCGAATGATACCAAGCAGGAACAGGGCATGAGTGTTATGAAGAACAAAACTGGCCTTCAAAAGGGTCTCGCTACATGGGAGACAAAGTCTGAAAGAAATGGGATGCAGTTGTTCTCTTTGAACTGCAAAGTGTTGCACCTAGTTTGGGACAAACAACTCTAAAACTACATAAAAAGAAATTATTTAGCAGGTAGCGGGGGGTTTTTTTAAGAAAATAATCTGGCATTGCAGTAGATAACAAATTCAGCAAGACTCAGCAACGCTATACTGTGAAAATTCAAACAGGTTATGCAAAGAGAACAGCTATGGTGTATCCCCTTCTAACCTGTATTAGATAAGCTCAGTAACATTGCGTTGTGCTGCTAACATGACTGCTCCTTTTTTTGGAACAATTGCACCATATATAGGAATACAATGACAGACGGTATAAATCTAGCTATGCTAGCGGGTAAATTTCCAGTCCTGAGGGCATCTTTCTTTCCCTGGCTAGAGCACTATGCACCCCAAGGCAACATGAAGACTTAATCCCTAACACAGACTCAGGGCCACAGGTATGCACAGGTATCCCAAAAAGCAATTAACCCTCACAAGCCCTCTAATATTAACCACTGTCAGCACTGTACAATGGTTAATGCCCAAAGTTTGCAGTAGATGCCATTTAACTTCTGTCTTAAAAGGGGAAATGTGATTGGTAGAGAGGCCTCATCAGAGATAAGATGAAATTTTATCCAAATGAGCTGGCTGCCATTAAGAATGCAGATATTGAGGTATTTCTGGAGAGTATGGAAGAAACTCAAGCTCTGTCCATCTATGTGTAATTATATGGGGTGTCACAGAACGTGGTAGAAAATCGCAGCTTTTACTTAGTTTTTATTCAGCTGCATGCAAGTTAATTAACTCTCAAAAGTTTCAAACAGGCTTCACCGGAATGGGGATTCACCACAAGTCCAGGCGCATCATTTGCCATCTAATAGTGGAAAGCCATCCAGGAACCGCACAGGCAAATGACCTCAATTTCAAATTAAGGCAGCTAATTTGAGAAAAAAAATAATAATAATTTAGAAAAAAAAACCCAACAAAACACCAGAACAAATTTTCCTGAAAGAAAGAGACAATTTTTTACTTGGAAAATGTATAAAATTGTCATTCACTGTGAAATCTTATCAATTTGGGGATATGATTTTAAGAGTAATATGTTCTCAGGCACCTGAATGCTTTAAATAAGCATGAAGAATTTGTGAAAAATTGTACCATTTAATTTTGAAGAAAATCCCCACAGAATTCTAGGGCTTAAAGAAAATTCATGAATAGTAACTTTACATTTACATTTGAGTAAGAATGTATTACATGAGACTTCAGCCTAACTCCCCAGTAGATTAAAAAGGCATATTTTACACTAAAAGACCAACAGCACAGAATCACAAAAAAAAATCCAAGACCTGAAGTTGCAACAGCATTTGCCTATTTCAAGGTATTTGCTGTTATTTCTATGTTGAACAGGGGATGGCAGCATTAAGTGGCATCTTATCATAACTCAACTGACTTATATTAAAAGAATTCTTTTCTTATTAGACAGCGTAAAACAAATGTCAGTGTTTAATTAGCTTTATTTTAAAATTGTATGTAAGTCCTTATTCTGTGTACATACTCCTTCATATAGATAGATATCAAAGTAAGGCAAAGTGATGCCTGGGGAATTAATTAATTTTGGACATTAAGAGATGTGTCAAATACTGCATACAAAATGAGGTAGGAACACTGAAATATAAATCTCCAGAAGACACTGGATGCAGTTGTCCAAAGGATCCAGCTATGTGCACATTCAAAAAAATAAAAAAAAAGGTATACTTGCAAGATCAAACCACGCAGACTAGAGAATATTACAGCATATTCATTTGCCATATTCTATTTTTCAGCTTAATAGTTTCAAAAATGCCTTTGTCAGAATATGACAACCCTTTTTTGTAACAGTTTGCCATACGCATATTTTAAGAAAAACACACCGTTCAGACTAATGCATTTTTACAAGCTACCACAAGATGTCTCTAATTCACCAGATTCTTCAATATGACTTCAGCCCACAAGGTGGTATTTTCATACCACCTAAACCTGATGTGTATTCACTATGTTATCAGGATACACATATTTGGTGTTACCTGTTTACGTATTTAAAATAACTTTGGAATCATGTATTTCAAATGCATTATAATTAAGATACCATACTGTATAGGCTAATGAGCTTCAAAAAATTGTAATTACTAACTTCATTGAAATTGTAAATAATACGCAATTTCAAGGTACATGAGATATATTTTTGAAAAGGTTCCATGTCAGTCAAAACAGTTCAACTAAAATATGTCTAAAGTACAGGAAAAATTAGCACTATAATGCCACACGTTATTTTATTTTTTCAGAGTAAAGAATGTGTGGAGAGTGTCACATTGAAACTTATGCCTTGACATGACTGATGGGTCTGGCAGAAGTCGATTACCTAATGGAGAGATACTGAACTGTAAATTACACACACAGGGGTAAGTTGGGAGTAGACACTTGGACAATAGCTGCATAAGAAGCAGTTTATCAGTTTTTTACATTTGTTTCATCCTTTGGGGTTTCTTGGGGTGGGCAGGTTGTGCATGCTCTAGCATGCTCCACTTTACAAGGAATAGTTTAAGATTCATTGAGGCAAAGAGTTCAGTGGTTTGGGAACTCCTGTAGAAGGAAAAAGGATTAAATGCTAGCTTTGTTTGCAAACACTATTAAGTACCAAATAGTGACATCTACATATTTATTTTTTAAGTAAATACATGGTCTTCTGTGACTTCCATCAGGCAACAATGCATCTAAATGTGGGTACAGTAACAGAGCGTCATCACAACACCTGCTCCCTCTACAGATACAGACCTAATCTACTTTTGTTTCGACGCTCAAACTGAAAGAACCTGTTGGACATCATTTTTCAGAATATAAATATTTTGAAAAATCTGGGAATACAAAGAAACAGCTAATCTGGGAAAACAAACAGCTCAACCCTCTAAATGTGTCATGCTGGTAACCCATAAACTATGAAACCTTATTAAATTACTATCTTTTGAAATTCTCAGTTAAATAAATGTAGATAACCCTTCTGCTAGATCTACTTTTTCGCTAGCAATTATAGTCTTATTAATAAAGTATTTCAGATGTATGTTTCCTTACATCATTAGGGGTCTTCTCCTGTTTCTCATGCTTTTCCCGGTCATATGCCATCTTTTTCAGAAGTTTCTTCATAGCTTTGTCCTTTTTCTCCTTCTTCTGGCTTTCAGTGTTTTGTTTTCTCACTTGGTTAACAATAAACTTAGGAATCTAGGTGAATATAGATAGTAAGTATGAATACCTACATAATTTCCTTAAGTAACTACCTTATCAAAACTTGGTAAATTGACAGATTGTCAGGTAGAACTTGAAAAAGTAGTATTTATTGCCAGTAATAATTAAAGATTCAAATAATATAAAGCTGTGAAACAATTTAAAACCCACTCAATTTGTGATGTTATATTCCATTCAGTAAGCTCTCAGGGGAAGAGAGGTTGAATCATGCAGTGTTTTAACTTTCCTCAGCCAAAAAAATTCACTCAACACTTGGTCTGTACAACAGTGATAACTTTTCCTCACACGCAGCAAAGGTCAAAATTGTTTGAAGTTGCTGATGGACAACAAAGCCCAAACTTCTCCAGTTAGCCTAATTCAGAGCTTTGCATAAGACCAGGACACGACTTCATGTTTTATCAAAACATGTTTTATATAATACGAAGTTTGGCCCAAATGGGAAATGGACTAAAACATCGTGTTTCTTACTCGTATCTCTAAGCAGAAAAGAATAAATTCCTCATAACAATGCATACTTACAGGCCAAATACAAAGATCCTCCAAGGACTTATTTTTGAGTTCACATATGGTACATACCGTATTAAAACTCTGACCATCAGAGCTTGATTCTAACATAAGATGTAATGATTCTGTTTTGCTCCCATAAGAGTTACCTATGAGCAAGAACCCAGCTGGATGGTGCTGATTTGTCTCTAAATCATGACAATAAGTTCACACTTATGATCATCTTCAGAAGCCTTGTTTGCAAAATTTATTATTCCACCCCCTGCCCCTGAAGAATCCACTTACTGTCCAGAGAAGTTTTTGGTACTGAATCATAAAGCGCATGACGTTTGCTGTTCCAGCTGCCATAACAAACTCGCTTTGTTCAATAGTCTTTGAGCCAAACCCATGAAACGTGAAAAGGTTTGGGGCCATCACCATCGCAACATTCTTCAACGTCATTTTATTTTTGTCTCGATGATCAATTACTCTTTGGAGGAATTCGAGCAGTACCTGAAATAACAGCAGAACTTACAGCTCGACTCTGCACGTGAAAAAGTTACGACTGAAACATGATGTTACATATTTTTGCAAAAAGCTCTTCATTCCTAATAAAACCACATTAAAAGCAATCAATAATAAGAACTGTGGATACGTTTGTTCACAGGACTGTAGCACAAGTTTTGTTTCCTTTAAGTAATGAAATAAATCATTCTCGTTATTCTTGTGGATAACACTTTCAAAAGCATTCAAGTGATTTCCAAGCCCTGCACAGTAAGATTTTTTCAAAACCCTCGCTATGTAGGTGCATAAGTAGCATCCCACAGATGCTTTTGAAAACATTACTGTTGGCTTTTCTTAAATTGAAAGTGAACACAATAGTACCAGCTGTCATGGTTATGGAAACACGGAGTGGCTAGTTCTGTAAGGTAAGCAATTAATAAGTAAACCACTGCATTGTGAATGACAGGTAGCCTGTTAGAACCTGACAATCTTCAATTAATTCAGTTCCAGATATTTTTAACACAACTCGGGAGCTCTCCTGACTACTTCCACACAGTAAATAAACTCAAGAAGAAAGACATGTTTAAACAGTAAGACCTAATAGTATTTTTTGCCTGTAATAGATGATGTTCTGCATCCTACACAAATCCTGCAAATTCATTTTTGATCGTAGCAATTTTAATAATAAGCATATTCTGAAAAAGATGAATAGCTTTGCTACAAAAGGACAAGCTCAAATTGGAACACTCCACGTAATATGCTGCAAATACCAATATGAAGTGTAAATTTAGAGTTTATTAAGAGTAGAAAGAAACAGCACAGAGAAAAGCAGGGAATAAAAATGAAGAGCTAAACTAATTTCATAAATGCAAACTCTCATCCATAGTATTCTAACATTTTATTTTTTGCATTGGAAATAATGACTGCTGCCAAAAAAAAAAAAGGAATGAAATTTGTAAGAGAAAAGGTCGCTCACTGGGAGATTATCATTGCGATCTCCTGGAAAAATTTCAAGTCACATTCTTAAAAGTCATTTGGGAGGAATTAGGGTGCTAAGGGGTTTTTTTCTGAAGTTCTGTGAAATGCAAAAAGAAGAATCACTAGTTTCAGCATTAACTTTGAACTGAAAAAAAGAATGTTAAAAGACAACAGCATTCATTACAGTCGATTCACAGAAAAAGAGAAAATATTTGTGCAAGAAAAAAGTATTAGCAATTCTAACCTTCAGAGTGTCTCTGTTTGCTTCAGGTAGAAGGAGAACCAAAAGATTCAAAGCTTGCAGTTGCTGTTTCTTCGTTGGAAGATCTGCCAGTGAAGCATACGAACCTCAGTATTTTAAAATTGTCATTTGTCCTCTTCAAAAAGCATGATTTCAAAAAAGAAACCTCTTGCAAAATGCTGAATGCATACACATGGCTAATTGTCATAGTATGACAAAGGACTGGGAGATCCATGTTTTCTGATACTCATTTCCAAATGTTCTTTTAGGATTCAGTTGCTGTATGACTCAGCAGTCTTCTGGCACTATTTTCTAGATGCCTTGTGACTCTTTATTTTGCAATGTTACAAGAAGAAATAGTCAGCTAACGGCTCCTCCCTTTTTGAGCCTGTGCCCCAACATATGAAAGGGTATATTCAAAACTGCTTTCACAGTTTCTCTGATTGCCTTAACAGTTGCGTGGTCTCCCAAGTCATCCACGCAGAACAAATACCACATGTTGCTGAATAAGGCAGGTCCCCGGTGACATAAGCAGCAGCAGCTGCAATTGCAAACCATTGGGATTAAAGCCAAGAGCAGAGCAGCTTAACACACATCTACAGCAGTGAGCACCGTACCAAACGTGGCAAGCTATCATTAAAGAAAAGTGACGTTGGTTCTGCCTTTTACCCAGTTGCTCAGTGGTGCATCATTCACCCAAGATGCAGGACGAGTGCATCCCTACACTCCTCCACCTCCTAGAAGAGCTCCTACGTTCTGGCAGTGTTAAGCAGCAGAAAGCCCCAACTCTCTCACGTTTGTCACTTGTGATAAACGTCCGCCTGTCATGCCTTAGAGGACGTGCTCTGGCAAGTCTTCTCAGCAGATTCCTAATGAATCAGGCCATACATAAGACAAGTGAAGAACGATGTACCTGCACTTCACACAGTTTTATCACACATAATTTTATCACAAAATTCAACAGGGCTGTTCTCGTGCATCCTGCTGGGATTCCAACTGAGCTGCTATTTCAAATACATTTCATATAAATCAGTTTGGGAAATACCGCAAAAAAAACAAAAGTTCATCAGCAAAGTAAAAAGACCCCTTGCTGACTACTTTCTACTGTAATAAAAATTAAGGATCTGAATAACTGAGTCATAAATCATACAGCTATTTAAAACATGCAAGTGGTGATAACACTGCATCTACCTGCTCTTGAGAGACATACATGAAAAGTAAGGCTTAAATTTAGTTCCAAAACACCATGTCATAATGCTCAAAAAGCAATGAGAATCAACCTTTTCCTAGGAAAGTAAGCAAAAGTACAATTGCAAAACAATTGAAATTCATTACTTATATCAAGGTTTTCTGTCTGTTCACCTAAATAACAATTCAATTTTAGTTGTTTGAATTATTTAAGTTAACAAATTTGTTTAAATGAAGTTGTTTGAATTACTTAATTAACAAATTTGTTGAACTAAAGTTGTCTAAATATTCAATTCTAATCACACTACTTAGTCACAGTATCATGAAAAACACTGATTACTGTCACAAAGACGGCACTTTTTCTCTAACACCTAATCTTACTACATGTAACCAATAAGACGGGCAGACAATTTAATCAAAGGGAGACTATGAAGTGCTATGTATGTTTTGCATCAAATCCTTTGGCTCAATGTAGAAAGTGTTTTGGATTCTGGCACCCGAGTATTTTCTGGGTAAGTAAAACCACATAAGCCTCCAGACAGCTCCGGAGCGGCAAGCAGAAACCCTCCTGGCTCCAATCACTGTCCAGTAAGTGGAACAACCTTGAGGAACTGCTTGCTGCCAGCATCATTTGAAAGCAAACTTGCCAGCTTTAACTTGCCGCTCAGTACTGCAAAATCAACACCACTCGGTAGCAGGCCTAAGCACCAGCCCCCTACTCTCACCAATTTAATGGCCTTGAAAGGCTGCTCACAACCCAGGGACTGACACAGCCCACAGTTTTTAAGAATATTCGTTTGTCTGCTTGTCCATGGGAATGCCCCAAAAGTGTCCCTTAGAAATGAGCCATCACTCTGCCTGTAGATCAGGGGAATACATTTTCCTGAAACTTGCACTCCTATGTTGGCTGGGGAGTTAATGTATGTGGGTTGTCAGTCCTGATTCATTATCACCAAGCCACTCTCTTTCAATTACAGCTGGTATGTTGTTTGCTGTCTTGGTGACCAGGTGGCAAAGAAGACATTTTCACAGGAACTTGCTGATCTCAAGGGACCAGGGATGATCAGCAGTTCTGACTATTCTGCTCTAACTTTTCCTGTTGTAAATGGATAAAATAGCCTAAACAGTATAAATTACCATTTGTAAGATTTTCTGCAGAACTACTATATCTTTGCTGTTGTTTTCTTTTGAAGCAAATATTGTTTATAAACTGATACCATCATACACAATTTCCTTATAACCCACCTATACCTCCTAACGACTATCAGAAACATCTTACCAGAAAGTGGCAGTGTGCTTTCATTTTATGTGTAAACTATTAAAATAAATGTTACATGAAAAATGTTATTTGTACATTAGCAAATATATGCCCAGACTTTTCTCAGGAGAAGTCATATTGCTGTTATTCAATTTGTTTTTCAGTTTCACATATTATTAGCGAAAATACTGCTATGGCGAAGAGGCACTTCTCTGCACTAGTATCAATTCTTTGCAGTTGAGACAGAAAGGACACTACTCACTCTGCACATCTTGGAAAGCTTTGAGATATTCTACAGTGAGGAGAGGCTGAGGCAGTTCACGGATGAAGAGTTTTAAAAGACTTGCTGCATCATGTTGCTTTACATTTTCCCAGTTGAAAGTCCCTTCATAAAATTTTGCTTCCAGTTCTTGGCAAAGACTCTGAAAGGCAGTAGATACAGAGAGCACCAATAACGCTTGGCTGCTGGAAGTCATGCATTATACACACAGCAATACTTTCCATACTTTGAAAGGGGGAAAAGAGATCTGAAATATCACTTAACTCCAGCTGCTGATGATCTTTTGCTACAAAAAGATAAATTGGGGATCAGAAGCACCGCAAGCAAACATATAGTAATAGGCAGCAGATGGCCAAATCACGTAGGAAGAAATCCCATGGGCCTGCCTCAGGGCCATATGGAATATACTGTAAGAACCAGGTATCATAGCCATATCATTCACATAGGGGTTATGACTTCCGCTCCCCCAAAATATTAAGACATGGCTGATATACATAGCAATTCTCAAACTACTACCAAAGGGTGTTGCTGTAATGCATGCATGGCCATTTTCATAAACAAATATGGCAATTATGCATGTTGACACACAGCTTCCTATCAAAACATACACTAAGGTGAGGCTGATTCTCTTTTTAAAACACAGGGAAAAGATTTCTGTGACTACATGGCTGGATGTCTTGCCATCTACAGGGAACTCCATACCACTGGGTACATACAGCTTTACCTAGCACTGAATATCAAACGTGCCCTCTATGGAAGGGGACTGTACTGCAAAACATGAAGTTATGCAGCAGAATAAACAGCACTGAAAGTCTCAGTGATACCTCATCACTCTGGGGTTGGGAAAGGGCAGGATACTGTTGGCAGTGGGCATTATCATATACCTGCCCTGCTCCCATGGCAGCGTTATTACTGGGCCTCCAGAGATGTACGAATGGGAACATGCTGCAAAGACTGAGTCTTTCTTAGTTTCCCATTAAGCATCAGTCCTGGCCTTGCACCCCCTTCATTTATTTCCCACTCTGGCAGAGTGGGAAGTGGCTTCAGTATAAGGCCAGTGGCCCCGAGGCACTTCTCACAAGTCCCTCCCTTCTTCTTGCCTCAGTTATTCCAGACAGAAAAGGACAGAAGAGCTGGCTTATTTTCTAAAGTATGTGAGATGAAGTGAGGGGAAGTGTTATGGAAAAATATGGCCTTAATTATTTATCTGGACAACAAGGGCACATTGGATGGAGAATACTACATACACTTTAAAAGAACTGTTCTCATTAAATTTAACTTTGTCCAAATGGAAACTGGATCTATTTCTAAAGAAAATGTGGACACTTAGGTTGATATAAAAGTTGGATGTTTTCAACTGCCCTCCAGAGAGATCTTCTGTCTCCACTGATCACGTCGGGGGTTCAAAGGTGCACAGATCCTAACCCAGATGTCTGAAGTCATGTGGGTATGATTTCCTGCTCATCAACAAAAGCAAGAATTAAAGATGAAAATTCTCCCCCTGAGTCTCATCAGATCCTCAGTCCACATTCTTACCAAATCACTGTGGCAAATGCAGTATTAAACATCTAGATAAAATGAATCATTCTATCTGAGAGGCAAGGGGAGAAATGTCATCTATGAGTCCGAATGCACCAATGTTTAGATTTTAAAGTAAATGTATTTAACTATGAGGTATATGCAATACATTTTTTCAATAATAACCCTAAAATCTGTGGAATAAGACAGCAAAATATTTTTTCTTGAGATTATCTGTGCCTTTCTATAAAACTACATAATGAGGAAAATATTTTCTTTTTCTATAGGAGAAAAAAAGTTTAAGAAAATTATGAGAAAACATCAGTCCTTTAGTATGCTAAATTCTTTGGTTTTCTATAAAAATTTCTATTTGAATAAGTAAAGGAACTTAATCTCTTTGCTAACAAAACAATTGCTTAATTCAAAGAAGCAGCTCCTGCAAATAAAGAGGTAAAAAATTAATGTAAGTCAAACAGTGAATGATTCCCTGCCTGAGAAACCATATTAAACTGATAAAATAAAAGAATAAACAAATAAACAAAATCACTTCAAAATCATTCCAGTATGCAGAACTGATGAAAAGCGGAAAAGAAAGAATGGAGGAAAATTGTAAAAAAAATATCATCTTAGTTACTGGTAAACAAAGAAAGCCAGTTTCCATAATATTCCCTTCTTTCAGTTGTTTCTAATGAACCAGCTGCTGGACCAAGTTCTACACAACAGTGGCTGGCAGACGTCTTTGGACAGCTGAATCCACTTAAATGGTCCTTTCTGTTTAGAATTTAAGGCCAGTTCAGACCATCTTTTTAACACATTGACTCTTGGCGTGAATCATACTGTGTATTTAGTTTCCTGCATTACAGCAAATACTGGGAAACGAGTGGTTTGTTAGGCTGAGAAGCGCTAAGCGGTTTGCTTACTTCTGGTTGCCTGTGTTTAGGTAAAACATTTATTGCATCGCAGATCAGGGTGAGAAAGAGTCCGCATGCAATTGGCACTCACTCTGCAAAGTGTCGGTGTGCATGGATGTGCCTAACAAGATTGTGCTTAGTGAGCTGATTGCTGTTCATAAAAATAAATGTGAGAGGTTCTTCAGTGCATGCTGGCTACCTTGCCCTGTAACACAGGTTAAGTCTAGCTATTAAAACAGGCTCACAATGCCAGAGAAAAGCTTCCTCCTGGGGTAGAAAGACTATGTATGAGCTATTCAGATGATTAAGCTGGTTCAGGGAAAAAGCAAAAGGCTGGAAAGCTCATGCCAAGAATTAATGAGAATTTGGCACAACTGAATTTGAAACGTAGCCTTGACTCTCCTTCAAACTCGAACTCCGGTCTTTTCCCCAAAACTACCCTGGATGAAATGATCAGCTTCCTGGCTAATATAACTCAGTTTTCTTTGTAAAGAGATTTTGCTTCCTGTTTTTAAAAAAACTTTGTAACAACCTGGTATTAAAATATATTTCAAAAATAAAATAGAATGAGTAAGCACAGGTAAGTTTTCGGGGATGTTGAGAATCTGTGCAATGATTTACCTTTACTCTTGTTGCAACTCCTGGTATTCTAAGAAGTCCTTCTGTTTCCAGAGTTGCCTCTTCTATCTGGGCAATCAGCTGTCAAACACAAAGCAAACTGCATGGATGAAGATGCCAACTAAAAATTACTAGTAGATAGTGCTGATATACCAGAGCCTTTATGTATGTATGTATGCATGCGTATGCGCATGCACATATGTAACAAGTACAAACACAGTTTACAAATGGATTACAGTTGTTGTAGAAAAAAAAATTTAACATGGCTCTTACCTGTTTTATGAACACTATTAAAGAAGAGTTTGTCTATTTTATTAAAGAAGAAAACTGTATTTTCTTAGACCTGCTTCAGACACTGAAGCAACTTTTTTCCAAAATTACTGTCTTAAAAAATAAATCCCAATTAATACCCTTGTTAAAGTATCTCTAAAGCAAAACAATTAAGGTAACATTGGAGATACAGTACTAACTTTCTCACAAATGCAACTTTACCAGAGAAGACCTAAGCACTTTTAGGCTCTAAGAAAGCTTCAGTTTTGAAAATCCTGGCATTTTCCTAACAAACTCAACAGTTTGCAGTCCTACATATGGCTTAGATAAATCAGCTGAAATTCTATAAAAGTACTTAAAACACATATCATAAATTCTGTTTCTCTACAAGATATGCCTAGAAGTATTCCCTGAAGGATGGATCTAAGAGTATTGAAAAGAAATTTGTAAATGTCAAAAGCTGATGACATCATTTTAGCACAAATGGTTCTCACAATGTTTAATTAGGGCAGTGCCTTTGTTACATACCTTCCTGCGCTAGCTCAAGTAAGAAAAATTATGCAACACAGTTGTGTTTTCTCCATTTACAGAAATTAAAGGGGGTTTACCTACCACTGTATTTAGGTAACTGATAAATGCTGATAATGAACAGATAATGAAAAAAGATCAGACAGAAAAAGCCACGAAGTTAGAAAACAGCACTAAAGGTGTCACCCTGGTATATCTTCCTTGGTAAGGAAAAGGAAAAGTGCTAACTGGCCACATCCAACTCTCACTGTACCCAGCTTACAACAGAGCAGTGGCTGCCGCTCTCATCTGTTGGACACAAAGACGCTGTGGGCATGTTATGTGATTTGCCACCATGACCACGTCTAGGGGGAGGCAAGGTCTGGTGTCACTGCCAGCGGCCACGACTTCTTCACACACACTCACTCACAAGTGCCCCCTTGGCAGGCAGGAAGAGGTGCCCGCTGGCCACCACCAGCCTCTTCCCTGCAGGAAATCCCCTCTACATCTCTGTCAGAGCTGCTTTGCATGGCTTCCTTAGCAGGCCAGAGACCTGAATTACTATCAGCAGAAACTGGTGGAGATACATAGATTGGTATTACCCTCAGATTTTCCAGTCAAAAGAGCCCTAGGCTAAATTATGTCATTATTTTAAACCACAATTCCTCAATGAAATAAAAACCAGGTGTATTTTTTTTTGTTAAAAGTTTGGGTTTTTTTAAATGAAGTAGCATTCCTATTAGCTTACTGTGTTTCATTTTAGTGATGACCAAGGTACATTCAAAAATCAGCATGCAAAAAAATGTTCTTTCTTGCACTTTATATAAATCCCCTATTCTTGGAAGGCATGTGCTGTAGAGAACAGGCAGGAGAAATTGGAAACTTTTTCTTTTCATATTCTCATTTAAAGAAAAACTGTATTCCAAATGACACCTTGCAAAACAAATCACATCTATAAGCTAGAAATGTTTATGTCGAATTTTCTTCCTGAAGAACTATGCTTACTATGTTGCTAGGATAGCACAGTGATCAATCACTTTTTGCCATTTGATTTCTTTTTTTCTAGATAGCATCTTTCCCAGAAATGTATTTTTACGATCCTGAGGAATTAATTTCTAGGCTGAATGATAGAGCAGTAGTTTTGAGAGAGTGATGCAAAACTACTTTTATTTTTCTGTTTCTTGAAAAATAACTTAACAAGCAGGTTCCCAAACCTACTGAAACAGTGATGACACAGCACTGAGTTTCTGTCAGTGTTAGGACAGGTCCACGCACTGTGGTCTCTCCCTTCTCATGCAATGAGACCTGTGATGTATTGGCAGTAAATCCAGCACCTCCATCATCTTTCCCATTATCTTCCCCATTACCGTAACATGATACAGGCTAAAGCACACCCCCATGTACTAAAGCAACAAATCTTCTAGAAAAGGGCGGCTGCTGCTACCACCAGAGGCAGTTACCTAGCCCGATTCCCACCCCCTAGCCACGTGCCTTGTGGCCCAAATCACTTCTGAAAGGAGAAAACCACTTCCGAGAAAAGTAGGTTCAGCCTCTGGGCCAGGGATTGAGAATTTCTATGGAGTTTCAAGTATCTGCTCTGACAAAAATAAAGGGCAGCCTTAATAATAATGGAAGTTACACCACCTTTATGAAATGGAATTTGGCTCCAGGGTTTTTTTATGCTGATTGCTAGTTTTCACAGGCTTATTAGTAAACTTGCCTAAATCATGGAGACCAGTTGTAACAAAACCTGAACTTGATTCCTTTAACCCAAAATACATCTGAGACAAAGCAAAGTATCACATTTACTGAATTACTAAGTAAAGCTGCAAACAAAAGTTACAATAACTTTGATTGATTAGAGTAATAAACTGAAAAATGTGCTACAGGGAGCAAACAAATCAAGGACAAAATGTTATTTGTTTGTCATTTGCAGGTATGTAACAAGTTGACTTGATCGTGCCTATTTACCTTTTGAAAAATTAGTGGGATCTTGGTTCCTGGCACCTTCTTCTGATCCTGTTCCAGTAAAACTGACAGTGGGACACCAAACAAGCCAGAGTCTGAAGAATAAAGCAAAAGAAACTGAGGTATTACCCACATCTGTTCCAGTGCATGTGATAATGGCATAAACCCACATTTTTGAAGCGATAAGCTTATTCAATACATTCACAGCTATTGACCTTTTGTTCAAAGTGTTTGAATGCCTTCGTCAATCGAGTTATTACACAAAGCATTCTGGCTAAAAGGATTCATTCGTCTCTTTCTTTGACCATAAATCAGAAGTCTTCTGTTCAGACTTCAGATTGCCATCCACATATTCTGCAGTACAGTGAAGCGAACTGCATAAATGAACCATCTGCGTGGTTCTGTTTTGCAGAATGGGTGTGATGATGACCCTGTAATACAGATCTTCATCACTCAATGCAAGTTATTATTGTTAAGATACCAATGGACTGAGTAAAATATCCAGAAATTTGGCTACCAAAATAAGACAGATGTAATTATCACCCAGAGCTACTCTGAACACTTCTCTATCACTGTTTTGAAAGCAGCTTTTCAGCCCCTGTGTTTTCGCATTATGCAACATTGGCAGGATAGCAAGATCACCATCTTGCCAAAGGTGTTTTGCTTTTTGCTTTTTTTCTTTTTTTAGTAAAAGCAAAAGTAAAGTTGAGTTGTGGTTAGAAAATAGCCTTTACAATAGTGCTAAAACAATGCAACTGAAAAAAAAATAATGGAATCTTGTCTCAGTTAATCTAGCCCTGATGCAAAACAAACCTTAGTCTTCAAGTAAATGGGACTCCCATGTGTTTTTGGCCCAGCTGAATAGAAGTGAATGACCATTAAAGAGAGCTATACTAAGTAATGACTAACCCAAAGATGGCTGACATAGAACTTCTCCGTCTTTAGTACTGGTAATTGCTGTATGTGCAATTTTTCTGAAACAGCACATAACACTACATGCAGCTAAAAACTCCTGCTTGGTATGATGCCGCGCCAATATTGAGCACAGAACAGCTGTAATTACTAAAACGATGTCAGCCCTTGAGGGAACGTCAAAGGAGAATATATGTCAAAGAAACATGTTTCAGTGCCAAATCAGGGAGTTCTTGTATCTCTATCAGCATAAAAAGTCTACCTATAAAAGATGCAGGGACTTATACATACAGTAAATATCCATACCCCATAGTTTTACCATCTTGAAGATCTTGTCAATAATAAAAGTTTCTAATGAGATGAAGTTGGAGAAACAAACTGTAGGAGGTCAAGAGAAAGGCAGGGATGGACACAGCACAGCGTTCCCCAGAATTATGTTTTCATCATCTTTACATACTCAAGCACAAAGGGGAACAGCCAATAGATCTGCCATTGTATAAGTCAATTGGCCAAACAACAATTCAGGAGTAAAGAGGTGAGGGTCAGGTAGAGCAACAAAGCACTGAAGGCATCACATTGCAGAGGCAGATTTGTGTGGCAGAAAGGGTGACGTCATTGTCTATTACCTACACATTTCCATGCACCTAGGCCATCTTTTTTAACTTTTAAAAAAGTTTTTAATCAATTCAAAGTTTTTCATGAATGCCTGTCATTCAGATAATAATGCTTAACAATAAATTTGGTAAGAAGAATAAATTAAAACCAAGACAGAAAATACAAGAGAAGAAAGTCTTCTGACTCTGTTTTTTAGCGAAAGCACAAGCACTTCTGCAAGAAGAAAATGCTTTTAAAGGATCAAGGCCTCGTACATGTTTCTGTGTATGCCTTTTGCATTTAAAAAGTCATTTTGTACTACTTTAAAGTGAAGAACATATTCTGAAGAATCTATTGTACCTTGCTATATATCTCTCAACCCTCTCTGTTGCTTTCAATTATTTAAAGTGAGCTGTCACATTCACTGAACCTTGACAACAGGGTTTTGGCCCAAGCAGGCTTGTGATTAACTGGTAACACATTTCAAGCTCTTGTAAAGTGTTTAGCAGAAGCCAGAAATTCAGAAAACAAACAAAGCACTGAAAACTTCTAGCATCTTTAAATTGGTTTCCATGCACCCATGTTCCCAAGAAAAGCACTGTGATTATACATATGCTCCAAGGGCTTGCACAGCAAAATAACCTGTTGCAGCTGTCTTGACATCCTCTGCAACAGCCCAGATCTTCCACTTAATATGATACCATTCAGCATAAAAACTGAATTATGGTCTGAGTAAATACTGGATGGGCAAGGCCTACGTGACACAGGGAAGTTTGTACCACACAGAAGAGGAAAGCAGGTGACAAAGGCTTCCAGCATCTCCAGCCAAGAGCAATGAAAGCAAAAAAGTCAGGTAGAATCACAGAATCACAGAATTATTTAGGTTGGAAAAGACCTTTAGTATCATTGAGCCCAACCATAAAAGTACCTACCTTCAGGAAAGCAGGAAAAGAATACCCACAAAGAGCACATACACACGCCCTCCCAGGAAATATATCAGCACATACAAACTTCTGTGAGGCAATTCTTCCTGCCCAGCACACTACTAAGATAGTTCCCCTTCTTCACTCAGTGACTCACCTGAGTTTTAACTTTAGACAAAGAGCACGGTCCCGTAGCTGGAGTGACTATGTGCATGAACTTGCTTTAAGTTCAAATCAAATCAAATGCTGCTCAGGACCTATGTTACCATTTATATAATAATATAAATTTTCTGCTGGAAAATCATAAAGAACTGGATGCATTTGTTTTATTGGATTAAATCAGACCCATTTGGTTCAGAATATGAAACACCGACTCACCTTTGGTTTTTACTTTTACAGCTTTTTGCTGCTTGAATTCTGTCCCAAGTATGTCATAGAGAGCAGTTAATTCAATCAGTGCTAAAGAATAGACTTTCTTCATGTCCTGAGGGGCCAGGTCACCAATCTTTGTGGTACCTGTTTTGTCCTTCGGCAGCCTGAAATTCTAAAAGCAGAGATTTGCAGCAGAGTGAATAATCCATAACAAATTACTTAGCTCGAAGGCTGTGCTTCCTTCAGGGCACAACCTTTCATCATGAAGCCTGCTGTTACTGACTAAATCACGGGAGAATCCCTCAAGTAGGTTAAAAAGCAGATGATCTCAAAATCATCGGAGGATTTAGGTTCCTAGTGACTTCTGGAGGTCATTTAATTCAACTGCCTGCTCAAATCAAGGCTAAATTCAAAGTCTGATAGTGTTGGTTGTTGTGTTGTCCAACTGAATTTTGAAAACTCCCAATAATCTCTATGGGCAACCGTTCCAGTCCTTAATGCTCTCACGGGGACTTTTTTTATTTTGCAAAACAGAATTTCCCCTGTCGTCACTTGTGTCCATTGCCTCTTGTCCTTTCACTGTGCACCTCCAAGAAGAGTCTGGCTTTGTCCTGCGTGTAACCACCTCCCACACCACCACGTTCTGCATCCTTTTGCAATTTATAGTGGTGGAAACGGCTGTCCATGAACAATCCTATGCATGTGCAACTGGGATAGAAAACCCTTGTCACTTATGCACACAAAATAACATATTTGGCTGCCATATTGTAATAATAAAGGGGTTCCCTTCTTAGGGAAGGGGGATCCTTAATTATGGCTCATTTCTACTGAACTAAATGCTCAGAAGCTGAAGTCAGAGACAAATATAAGGAATTGAGCCGAGAGGGCGAGGGAGAGGAAATTCCCAACTCACAGAGCTTTTTAACTCTTTCTCTCACCAGCTGGCTTCTAAGTAAGACTCTTGCCTGTGCCTGACATGAGCAGCATGTGTGACGCAAAGCAGGAAGGTTGACAAGACCTTCTTCCATTTGCAAAGATATATTATACTCCAGAATGATTTTCTCATCCCGTAAAAACCCAGTGATAGTACAGATGAATTGGTGGTTGTGGTACATGACTACAAGGGCACAAACCAAAACATAAGCATAATTTACAAATTGTAGATAAATAGTCAGTTTCCTGCCTTGAGGTTTCATTGACTTGCACAAACATGTATGTTTAAAAATAACTGCCAATGACAAAAGTGCAACAAATAAAAAATGAAGATTTAAATAGGTAACTCCCTTTTTTTCCTATCATTTTGCAACTCCTTTCATCACTGAAGGAGAAATCCGATAGCCATGTCTTTGAGCAATCCTTCATAACACTAACTAAAAGTATAATTAATATATGTATTATGCATACATATATGCACATATATACAGAAGTAAGTTAGAGTACAGCAATCGTTTCCTTGTTACAGGCTGCATTAGAGAAACATGACTCAAACACTTTAGAATCCATTTCTAAATAGCCATTAGTGTCTGGTTTATAATGTTTAAACTAGGATACATGGGGTAATTACTATTTGAAGAACTGCATGTGTCCTTATCTAAATTAAGTGTTTGAAGAACTGTGAAACATCATTACTTTGGACACTATGTTTACTCAGACATGTTTGCATACACTGTTAGGGGGAAAAAAAAGATGTTTTTCACACCAGTCATTAGTTTACAAGTCACAGGTAACTGCATATTCACGAACTGTTAGGTAGAGAGAGATCCTCAAAGAGATGCCTGAGGATCAACAACAAAATGCCCTGGAGGATCTTCTTTTGTATTTATTTGAATTCAACCAGAACGAGCCATTTTTTCTTACAAGTTGGAAAGTAAAACTGAGCAGAAACCCTTGATTTCTTGCCATTTGACCTTGGACTTCTACAGACCATTCTGTTCTTCATTTTCATCCCTCATCTATCTGCACTGGATAACTGCACAAGGTTTCTACAGGCATCCACCAACCCTTTTTAAATGACAACAGAGATTTTTATTACGGAGGCAAATCATCTCACCTCAGACAACAGCAAAAGGGGCTGTAAACAAATGAAGTAAGGATACAGTTTGTGTACAATTACCACTATTCCAGCTTAGTATTACCAGTCCATTGTTGCTTAAACATAGAGTGCATTTTGCCAGACAGACAATGACAAAAATAGGCATAAAAGTAATTACTTCCATGTTATTGAGAATACTATTACCAAAAATGAGTTGTCTTGAGAAGGTCTATCTCCACGAAGCTGGATCTTATGATGTTCTAAATCTAATTCACCCACTATCAGATAAATACCATCCAAACAGTACCACTAGTAAAAACAAAGAATGAGAGCAATAAATAGGAAACACTTACCGGGAGAAGAGTGTCACCCCCTCCACCCTTGCACATTTTGCCTACTGAGCTGTCTTTGAGATTAGCTGCCTGTTCTGCAAATGGTATCTCTAAATTGATGTCAGTGTCCGAAAACGGCATGTCTTCAGGTGGGCTCTTCTGCTCATCCCTTCCAAGACTGAACTTTGGACCTGAAAACAAAGTAAAAAAACCTAATAATCAACAGGAGCACAATTGAGCACCACTCAGTGCATGAGAGTAAGTTTAAAACCAAGTAGAAGTTAATGCTGTGCAAGGGATGGACTTTCTGGTTGCAAATTCACCTATTTCTGCATTTTTTTATATCAGTCGAAAATTTAGCTTATTACAAGGGTCCACCTTTTGTAATTTTTCTTGAATAATTCTGTCAAGGCATGGAGTTTTCTCCTATTTATTTACTATGAAAGGATAAAGCCAATCACCTCAAACAAACAGCAGACTCCCAGAATCTTCCAGAGCCAAACAGCTTTGGCATCAGAAGTTTCTTGCCATCAAACACTTTCCAGCCTCAAAGACTGTCACATCTTGCAACCAAATCATCAATTCTTCCTGCTGTTAAAATTTCAAAAGCAAAAGAGAATGTTTCCTGTATGATCCAAAGCACTAACATCTGGGAATAACAGGGAGTACACTTATCATGTCTTTGTCCCAACATTCTTGTCCTCACCTCACTTTGAAGAGTCTACATTCCTCAAAACTGTTTGGACACGTTTCTATGACACAGGGAAGGACTAAATACACAACAATGGCCTTACTTCTCTTTCTTTGTTCCTTAAAGGAATCAAACACTAGACAAATTTAGAATATTTTTTTTAAAAAAACAACAGAAGGAATAAAGGGCAGAGGCAGTTCTGCTTTTAGAAAAAGAAGACATCTAATTTCATAGTAAAATAACCGTCGCTTTTTAGTCTGAAGCTAAAATACATCATGAAAGAAGCAAGAGGAAAATTATATTGTAAATAACACTATTTAATACAAAGCATCAGAGACAGTTTAGCGAGAGAAAGATTCTGATCTCTCCACCATCTCTCTTGTGATGTGCTGCTTCTTAACATCCAGGACTAGGTTCCTTGTACAAGACATTACAAATACCTTGCAAGTATTTGTGATGAAATTCAGGCTTTCTTCAAACCAGCACAAATATAAAAAAATCAATCCTGCTTATTTCAATGGGACCGTGATTCTGCCACTGGCTCCTACCCGCAGGAGACTGCAGCCTGTTCAAAGCTAACATACCACAAGTGCAGGAAAAGTGGGATGGAAATGGACATGAGTGGAGAAGGAGAACCACGAGCACTACGTATGCTTTAGTGTAATAATATTGTGTAACATAATAGATTAATTTCTTTACACCGCTGTGGAAAATTTTTGTATGGCCTGGAATAACTATGCGAAACCAAGCCAGAAAAAAAAATCCCCCAAAATAGTTACAGCTACAGCAACATTTGACATTGAAGCAGGGGAAAGGCTGCAGATAGGCTGATTAAGAGAGAAGTCATCAGGGAAGTGCTGCTCCACACCGATACTTTCAGTTGTCTGCAAAAGAGCTGAGCTGCAAGTACGCAACCCAAACAGTATCTGAAGCATCAAGTTTAAAAAAAAATAAAATACATCAGCTAGAAAATTTTTCTGAATCGTATCCGCATCTAATTGAAAGACTATACAAAAAACAAGACCAGTCTCGGATATTCTTCAGAGTGAGTCTTGAAAATGATCTCAGTCTGCTGGGGCCGAACTCAGGGGACCTGACAGGCAAGTGGCTGCAGTCACCACAGCCACTCTCTGGTAGGGCACAGCACTTTATGCAACCACTGGTACTTCAATGAGATACTTCCAGAAAGAGAAGGTGGATTTCAGCTAACACTTTGACTCTACTTACAACCAAGCAACGCTGTGAGAAGTAAAATAAAACATTTCCAAATTTTGCCTGTTGTGTGTGTTACTCACCACCTGCTCTTTCCAGAGTAGCTTCTCCTCACTTTCCATAGACCCCGAAAGGCGTCTGGGGCATACGCTAAAGATTAAGCTGATCCTGAAACTAGAGCTGCTCCTTTCGGTAAAGAGATATATGAGACTCAGTAACCAAACATATCCAAGGTCAAATTCATCCTTGGCTTCGATCTTCAGCCTCCCTGTGAGTATATCTGTATACATCATGTAAACTGTTTAATGTATCCACACTAAAGGAAAACAGTTCCCGTCCCCCCAGGACTTTTGTCATGCTAATGTGGCCTATACGTGACCTACATACTTCCTACCAGCCTGGGAGGGATCTGATGTTAACAAACAATACAGCAGTAGCTCTTATTTCAGTCCTGTGGTCATAGGAAGGTGCTGTGTAAAGCAGATGTCTTGATAATGCTGTGCACATTTTAAAGGTCTGGAAATGCTGCTGTAGTGGGGAATTTCTTCTTGATCGCGTAGTCTTGCTCCTATTGTTGTGGATTCGCTAACTAGGAAGCAGCTGTAAGAGGAAGCAGCTTTGGTATTCTGCCAACCTGCCAACTGCATGCAATATTTCATGAGAGGAATGCAAGTGTGATACAGAAAAATGTAAATATTGTCTCTAAGGATGTGGAAACTGTGTTTTACATTACTCCTGTACCCTTTCCTTGGTTCACAGTGCTATCTAAGCATCAGATAAAATGATGGGAATTATTCAGGAGCGGGGTGGGTGCTGCGTTTTGGGTTTCTTTTTAATAGGATATGGAAATAGCGGAAGTGTCAACCTTGCTATTTCCCAGTTTTGCTAGAGAATCTAAAGTATACCTCGCTGGAGCTATGCTGATAGATCTTAATTTATAATTGGAAAGGTGGAATGGCTGATTTAGGGTTTTTTTTTTACACTGACAAAGCATTTCTCTAAAATGCTAATTCATAGATGATTTTAAATAGAAAATAAAAAACTTTGTAATCTTTTTACTAACACTCTATCGCTCCAGCCATAGATTACTCATTTATCATGTAAAATGAAAAGCAGAAACAAAGTCTTTAATTAAAATATACAACCACCTTTCCCTATTTTTCTCCATCAAGAAGCAAACATCACAGCTCTTTTCCCTCATGGTACATGTAGTTCATGCAATTCTTTCATCCATTTGCCAGATCATTATGCTTTGAGGTTGCCCTTACACAGTGGTTTTATCTAACGTTCTTCCCTTGTAGCTAATCCTGTGTGTTCAGGACAACTGCAGTCCCGCAGTAAAATGACTTTTGCTGCTTCCCGATATAACCTAACGTGTATTTAGCTTTTCATCTGCTTTATATTTTCCTTTTTATTTCTTGAGAGGTCTCAACCAACACGGTTATTTACTCCTTTTCAAAGGCTTCCAAAGATAATTACTTTTTTTCTTTCATAGCTGTTGAACATATTGCTAGTCTTTAGTGACTGTTATGGATTGTTAAAATGATAACGTCTTTGGACAGCTTAATACATGACTCTGAATTTTCTTTTCGTTTCCTGTAGACACATTCTGTACCTACATGAAAGAAAGAGGCACTTAAAGCCAGTAAGTGAGGGTCCTTCCAAAAAAACCCTAATATTCATCTACCAACAAAAAGTCTTAGGAACTCATTAAACTGTTCTGTTTGAGCAGGATCAGGCAGAAAAGAATAAATACATAATGGCTTCATTTATTCCCTGAGTTTGCTTACATTGTTTAGGTAAGAAACAAGGTGTGTTAGACTGGCACGAAAGGAGGAATGAGCACAGGTTCACGCAGGCCATGTATGCTCTAAGGCCAAACCATTATCATCCTCAGTCTGGCAGAAGCACTTGGGAATGAAGCATTCAAGTACCAAATTGAACAGAGACATCACCTTTGGAGAAGGGCCAGTCATTCATTCTAACAGTTTTAAGACATCTCAATTTAAGCTTTGGATTTTCTTTATAATGTCTGAGATGATATTCGTATTTTTCAGGTAAAACTGGCACTACTTCCCTGTCAAAGGGGGTTTCCATTTTAAAATAATGTCTTTGGATTTGGATTTCATAAGCATTTTTTATCTCTGCAATATCAGGCATCGTTTACTTTGTGTAACACTAATTTTCTCATCATTCTGGAGAAAAGATCACAACACAGCACGGAAACAGGTGCGGTGCTTTTAACACCACCAAACTAGCATGGTTTGACTGCAAAATTGAACTGATTTTTTCTTCCTGCTCCAATCTTGGGAGCAGAGCCCACTTTAGCATGTTGACAAGAGCAGAAGTGTATCAGGATGTAAGCAGACTGCATTTGCCATCCACATCGCAATCTGTGCTGAGGAGAGCTAGCATATGGGATTTGCCTTTCAGAACTTCCCATTTCTGAAGGGTTCACCAGGGCCACTGGGAAAAAAAGAACCAGATGTGATAAAAACTCTGTAATAATTGCTTGGTAATTTTCCAGCTCTGACTCCTACAGTGCAGTTTATTGACACAAGCACCAGGCATCTCTTCCTTCCCTTGTGCTGAACCAGCAGTCTGGCAGTCCTCCGAATTTTTCACTGTTCTTATTGGAGTGAGGTTTGCTGAGAGGGAGGAAGGGAAGGATTAATGGCACTTCTGGAAACACACAGATTTGGTGATATTCAGGGCTGGTTTATATTCATTTCTTCCACTTCAACTTCCATGCACATCCTGTATTGTCTGTTGCTGTTTTCTAAGTCTAATCCTAAAGTAACCATTTTTCCAGAATACTACTGGTTAGTATTCTATAACTGGTGCAGAAGTTTATTTGGTGGCTTAATTACAGATAAGTAACTTGCGGTAGGGAACTTGATCTGCCTGCCTGACTATTTAAGTGGCTATAGGGTTCAGTGTAACACCTATGGGCTATCCAGTCCCCCGGAAGAAGAAAACCCAACATACAAACAATGCAGAATAGCAATCCGGTATCTTAAAGCTTAAATGGCTGCCAGTTAATATCCTGATCTCCACAGTGATAGCTATGGTAGCATAACAGACATGGTGCAACCCCTACTTCGAAGAAACCTAAGATGATGGCAGGGCAGCCACGCTTTTATTATTGGACCTGAAGAACAGCAGAAAGCTTTGTCAAAGTCTTTCATTAAAATTCATACTCTAAAAACAGAAACTATGGAACCAGCTAAGGACTTCTGTGATGCTCTGTCCTACCTGGCAGTGAGAGGGAGGGGTGTCCCACGGGTACGGCACCCGTCTTGTGTAATCACACGCTGTTGAACATAACCCAGTCCTACGCACACAGAATGCTATTTCTTTTCCATTTTCCTTAAAAAGGTAAACAACTTTTTCCTTCCATCCCTGTTTTTGTTTTGCATTTTGAGCTGCAGATATATAGCCAGTTCTCACTTTCTTTGGATGTTTATAGTCCATTTGTTTTTGTTCTCTTGTACGCATTGATGAGCTTATGTATAGTGCTTCATTTCCTGTACTGTACAGCAGAGATAAACCAGTAGGGATAAATTAAGTATCAGGAAAGACCTAAGCATAAACTATGAGAGGAGACTTCTCCCAGATGACTCCATTATAAGACGATCGCTGGTAACAAACAAGGTCTCCCAGGTGGCGCAAAGGATGCTATCTACAGCCACTCTTAAAAACTTGACAACACTACAACACAGGCCAGAACAGTTTCTCATAAGAATTTCATTTTCTTTTGCTGAAAAGTTACTGGAAATATGGACCTATGTAGCTGCTTGTGTAGTTGAAAGCCTACAAAGCAAAAGGGAAAAAAAAAAAAAAAAGAGTTGTTTGTCATTACCTTTTGTTCCATCTTGTGTTTCATTTTTGTTTTCACTTGTTCTCACAGTTGAGGGTTCACTTCCATCACAGACCTAAAAAAGGAACAATAAATATGCATGCCTATAAAAAACAAATGTATGGTTGTAGAAACTCCTTTGACTCTGTGCAGCACTAAACCACATACTCCTGCAATTCAAGACCGTGCAGAAGCACACCTGTGTGTTTCCATAGAAAACCCTTTGCCGAAGTCTACAGGGATCTGAAATCTAGGTAATTAAAAACTAACTAATGAAGTCCATTCCCCACTCTTCCTAAAAGGATAGGTGGGTATAAGCCTTAACTTTCCAGAGTTGCAAAGAATACGAAAATGTATTCTTTGACCTAAAGCCATAGTTTGTATTGTAAAGGATACAGAAAGGGAATCTGGAGGAGACATTTTGACGGACTCAGCCCAAATTCCTTCCTCTTGCAAAATCTTACATGGTTGCCTCCCCTACAGAACAATCCCATCCCTTTTGCAGGGCAGCCTGACATTAGTATCAGTGCTTACAGCTTAGATTCCCAGCAGCAAAACTAGGACTCTTCAAAGAGCCAACAAAACAGGAAAGGATTTGAACCATCTTCTCCTTTTGACAATGCTACACTACCCAGTCTCAAAATTTGTCACATTCCATGAAATGGATCACACCTACTATAGAAAAAACTATTTCAGAACACGTAGAAAATCTATACCCATATATATGTATGGGTATATACATGGGTATAATTTGTGTGTAAAAATGTGTATGGGTATACTCATACCCATATACATATGGGTATACCCACGTAGTATTTTTTTTTAACTTTTTGGCAACTCAAATAAACAATGAATGTTTAGCACTCTGGATTTTTAATGGTATTTTACTCAAGCACTGTATAACTCCATACTTGCTGAGAAAAAAATAAATCAAGTTTTAAAGATTTCTCCTACCAACACAAACCTGTGTATTTACTTTTTTTTAAAATCAGGGATCTTGAGAGGTGGAAGAAGACAGCATGACTGTCCAGAAAATCATTACTGTTTCACAGAACAGTGCAAGCAGACTGGGAAGCTGTCAAGGTACCAAAAGTCCAGCCTCTCTTTGGGAATATGGCAGGAAATTTAGTAGAAACATCAACACAATTGTTGCGCTGATGCGAAACATTAACACTATTGTTTTACCTTTCCTCCCGCTTTCCTGCAGGTGAAGGGAGGTTATAGGAATTTTGAGGGCTATTATTAACCTGGAATGACTTCATACAGCTGCAGATGGCTTCAGTCCTCTCCTGTTACATAAAAAGCTTCCAAATGATGGGACAGTAACAAAGCACTGAGGTAAGTTACCTAGGGAGGTTGCAGAAGCTACTTCACTACAGGCTTTCTGTGAGAGATTAGATGAGTAACCACAAGCAATGACTTCTGGATAATCATCTTGCTTCAGAGAAATGAATGTAGTATAGTTCTGAGGGCCTACACTTGTACTACTTTATTTCAGTCAAGGAGACATGTTTAGAAGGATTCTTTTTTTCCCCCCAGTTATTTCTATATTTAATAAATATTCTGACCTTATACATCTTAAATGTTTACAATCATATGCCTGTTTGTATTACTTCTCACTGATGTCATCAATATCAAAACATGTAGTTTAAGAGACACAGACGTCTACTGAACAACGTGACATATGATTTTCAAACATTACAATGTGTAGTTTAAATACAGGAACATGAGTATTTCTTGTGCTTTACTGAAATAACATACTTGAAAGGGAAATTATACTGCTTTAAGCTATATGATATTTTACCTAAATTGCTCTGCTATTACATCTTGTAATTTTTAGGTGTAGTCAATTCCAAATCAGATCCCAGATAGCTTTTATGGAGTTAATATCCCTTCTACAACCACAGGCAAAGCAGAACACTGAAAGGGAAGCTGTGCCTCCAGAAAATACATCTGAGTTTGCAAACACCCCCACTACATTTCACCTCTACTGAATCTGAAAGGAGTTGCCAAAGGAGAGGAAGCTGTTGGGAGAAGGAGGAAGTTAAATCCCCTCAAAATTCACCATGCTTTCCAGTGCCACTGCGCTGAATGGTGGCAGCAGCAGCGGTGAGAACGAGGGACAGAGCTGAGGTCAGGTAAGCTAGCCATACACTTTCATCAGGTCAGTCTTCTTACGGCTGAAGATCTTGTTTCTTTCAGGGGAGCAAAGAGGACACATACGCTTCTCCACAAGAAGGGGACTTCTTATCATAGTATACATGTACCTCCTTCCTCTTTCCTGTGTACGGAAGAGAAACTCTCCCATTCCATACCCCATGAGAGGCGATAGGGACCCTTCGGGATCTGTCAGAGCAACTTCCCACACACAGTTTAATGACACGCATAGGCCCTGGGAGTTAGTACAGGGTCTAAGCCCCAAGCTGACAGGCATAAAGACCTAGCCAAAATACAGTAGGTTAGGCTGATGTCCCTTTATTTTCCTTTTTTGAAAAAAAAAAAGAAACGAGCACCAGTAAGTGAGAGGTACTGCCCCCTGTCTGGCAGACCCCTCGAGATGGCTGCAGGGCACTACCACCCAAAGATATAAGTGGGCTTTTGGTAGCTCTTTGGGTGATTGTTGTAATGAGTTTTGCATGTGCATTAAAATTAATTCAGATTAATACCTTGACTGTGGAGTGGTTGTTTTATTAATCACCTTTAAGTAATATGAGGACAATATACATACTTCTTTCTACATACTAAAATTGTTTAATGCAATGTCAAATCTGGACCAATGCTATTCCCATAAATTCAGTAAAAAATTCCCTTGGAAATCAGTGAAAAGTTAGACACAAATCTTCTGGAAATATTCCTTTTGTGTCTGTGCATCCCTCTCCTCTTCCCCCACGCCTACACATCCCTCTCTTCTCTCTGCCAGAATCAAACAAAATGATGGACAGGAACTTACTTTTCCCTTTGAGTCATTTTGTACCCTGAAGATGTCTCTGACATCAGGAATCTGATGCTGTTTGTTTTTTTTCCTCATGGTTTGCGTGACAGTCTCTACTCTCTTTTCTACCGCTGCCTTCTGGGTTCGGGTCAGTGTGGACAGAAACACCATGCTTTCCAGGGAGTCACCAGAGCTCTCACCAAACAGATTTGACAGACCTGCCTCCTTCAGCCATTCTTCTTCCAGTTCTCCCTCTGAGCAAGGCAAAGAGAAAAAGGCATAAACGTTGGCTTTCAAGTACTGTTAAGCACACTGGATGTTAATAACATGGTATAGTTAATGCAGTTCCCAGGGAAAGTACTAAACAGATCCACAATTAGGAACAACTACTTACACTGTCATGACTTGTAAAAAAGCTATTGTTTCCAAAGAGCTTCAAAAGGGTTAACGTATGATATCAAAGTTTTTAAAATAGTTAAGCCAATACAGATTGCTAAGGAGCAATCTTTATTATAATCTACAGCACTTCTATTAAATCATGTATCATTTTATAAATGTACCTAGATATAAATGTGGATGGGGAAGTTTGAAAGCCTCTGATCACTGATGCTTCATTGGTTTTTAGTTCAATCCTCAATCTCTTTAGCTCCTTTACTGATATAGTTCTGCCCACTTTTCTTGATACATTAATCCTACAGCTCTCCACTAGCTCAATTTAATGAAGGACAAACCAGGCTACAGGAGTCACCTTAATGCTGTTTTTTAATCAGTTCTTATGACATGGTCTCCAGCCTGCTGACAGCCCACAAAACAATTGTTGTTTTAGTCTTATTGCTGATAAGGTATCCTTTATTGACAGATCACTACACATGATCTATCGACAGATCACTGCACATGAAAGAGGAGAAAGCGATTAAATACTGTCACCAATGGCAAAACTTCTGCTTCTGAAATCAGTATCTCTCCAATGATACTTTCTTTAAAACACTAAGTTCTGTCTGTAGCAGCTGAGCTTGTGCTGCACGCCAGCAACCCCCTCAAACATTCAAGCAACATTTCCATTTATCGGATATCTAAAAGTACTCCAAACCTGGCACGTCAACTTCACTATTGACTGTGGTTTCCCACAGTGCCCAGGGCACATCCAAGTGGGCACCTGGATATTAACAGCATTCAGAAAACAGACACAAATTTTAAGTATTAATTTTGCTATGGCTGTGCAAACAGTGAGCCTCTGACAAAAATCAGAATTTGTTATTAGGGCTGGAAAGAAAGGCTAGACCCACTCGCCAGAGCAGACATGAGCAAGGTATATCTCATCTCTCCCCTGCCTTGAATTTGCATGACCATGTCTCAAGCAAGCCCCCGTCCAGGCAGGCCCATCAGCCAGATGCAGTGTCCCACATGTTCAGGACTACTCATACCCGAGCAAGGTGTTGCACATTAGGCAAGGTGTGGGGCAGAGCAACATCTACTCGAGCTGATCAACTCAACTGAGCTGCCTCACTTGGGCTGCATGCCACAGTCAGCAGCTTGAGCTGGAATGGTAATTAGAGGGAAGAAGGCAATATATTATTAAAAAAAGAAATGGTGGGGTTTGGAGTGCAGAGCCGGAAGGCATAGCAGCATCAGTGAGCTGGGGTAAGAGAAGAGGCTCATGCATTGCACAACAATAGGCTCTGCTGCTCTGGAGACAGCCTCACAGCTCCGTCAGATGCCCTGCTCCCCAGGCACATGGGCTCAGAGCCTTGCTGCTTTCTCCAGCAGCCATGTTGCTACCCTCTTCAGAGCACTTGAAAACAGCAGTGATGTTTCAAAATGCCTAGGGAGGCAGAAGTGCAAATCCCTTTGAAAGCTAATGGAGCACATCTTCTCACTCATGGAGAGGCCATACCAAAACGCAAAACTCACCATTTTAATTTACTGAGACTGTAGGCCCCTTGTAAGAATAGAAGAGAGGCAGATACTGCACTGTTAAAAATAATTTTTGACAGAAGAATGGAATTAAGGATATTACTTCTCTTTTCTCTGATAGGACAAGAAAAATAAAGAAATTGCCCAACTTCTTCTAAGATTATGCCCTCAGGAGTGGCCCGTAATCGATGCTTCTGAGAAACACAAATAACACAACTGAACAGTCACAATAGTTACAAGTGTAAAAAGTTACTCACTAAACTTAAACTGGTTAATCATTGGCTTGTCTTCTAAAGCGTGAGGTTTCTATCCACAATAGCTACAATAACGAACAACATACACAAAGAGTGAAAGGGTAAGTTAGTTTAACAGCAAACCGCAAATAAAGCTTCAATTGTTGTGATTTGCAAGTACAGGCACCTTTCTGATGTTCTGCAAATACAGCTTAAAGGAAAAACAGCCTTTAACTTATCTCTGATAGAATTTTCTTTCAGGGCACTACCTGTTTCTGCTGATATGCATCAGAAGCAACAGAATTTTCAAAGTGGATGTTCAGCAGAGTGACCTCTTTTTTGATTTAAGCGTGTTTGGTGTGTGCCATCTCTTGAAATAAGACTTAAAGAAAAATCCCTAAATCAGCAAACTGATGATCATTCACAAGAACAGGTTTCATTACCATCTGGCTCTTTCACTACAAGTGCTACTCGTTCCTCATGATTATTTCCTCTGGTTTCATGGATGTTTTCAAGTTCTTTCCAATAGTCATCCATAGACAGTTCATCCAAGGAGTCCTGGGATCCTGAGCGGTCAAACGACGCTCCATCGGGGGTCTTCTTGGAATGGTCATGGTTCATTGTATACTGGCCAGACCGACGGCTACAAACATGAACCAAAAAGCAATTGTTGGTTAGCATTTTAAAATACAGGATATACTGACATCTGTGAAGGCATTTAGTAATGAATTGAGCCAAAATATCTAAGAAAACTACTGTCAACAAGCAAACCAATATATTAAAAATTATTGTTAATATCTGTAATATATTTTTAATTTAACATTTCTGCTATACCTATCTCCCAATCTAGAACAGCACAGGAGTCTGCATTAAAGAGAAAACAATGAATCCAAGTTCTAGTAATCCTAGTTACACCAAACCTGTAATTCAGCTCACAACAGTCAGTTCCACAAACTTCATGATAGATATCTTCCTAGCATCACCATTTATAAAGAATTTTTCAAAAGTGCCCTTCTACCTGAGTAAATTCTTATAGCTTGACAGTACCCCTACTTTTTTTCCTTTGCTATTCTGCTTTTATTTTTTATAAATGTTTAGTCTGGTATCAATGACCTTAATTACATCTGGGAAAGGACAAAGTGGAATTACTGAAGTTACAGTTTGTGAAGTAAACTGGTGAGTCCAAACATTTAATAAAGGCCACTATTTGTTTCTATCTTGCTTCCTCTTTAACTGAAAGCTTACTATTTTTATAGTCTGATGTTACTGGTTTTTGGTTCACCCTGCTAAATGTATGTTGCTAAAGCTTTCAAAAGGGATCTTTCATCTTAAGTATAGCTGCAACTAGAAAGAAGAAACCAACAAGCTGAAACCTTTAGGTCTCACCTTAACCTCATTAAGTCATTGCCAAAAATTACCACTGACCTAGCAAAGAATTGCTCTTAAAAAGTGTAAAGGTTAGAGTGATGTCATCCTTACAGTCCAATATACCGAATCAAAAGCCACCAACTGATTCAGAGTATCAGAAAGAAGATGTGGATTACATGAGCAGCAACCTGATCTAACCTCAGAGTTGGTCCTACTTTGAGTGGGAGGCAGATCGGACACGATGATCTCCAGTGGTCCTTTCTAAACTAAGCTACTCTACTATTATGACAGTGTATCAAAATTCTTCCTTGTATTAAAAAACAGTAAGTTCTTAATATTTCACAAACAACTTCAGATGTCTTTTATGTCCAAATTTGACTCCATATTCTAAAAAAGGAGGCATGGTTTGGGGTTAAGTAAAAAATATAACTTATTCCGAGAGAAAAGCATATCAAAGATCAAGCATTGTGAATTTATCACAATGTAAACGCAGTAAATTGAGTCCTACCTTCCCATTTGGCTGACTTTGCAAGTTTATCTAGAATAAAAACAAAAGCACCTCGTCCTTATATTTTATCTTGGGACAACTAATACTTGTTAGCTGCCCCTAAATAAAAAAAAAACGTACCTTTCTCTGAAGATAAGCCCCTTGTATGTCCAAGTCACAAATCCTTTCACACCAAACGTGCTTGATTCTCTGATAAGAAATACTAACTATATGGACTTTGCCTTTAAAGGTAAAGAGCCTTATGGAAGGACTATGAGTTTCCACCTGCCCTGCCTCCCTGCTCCAGGTACAAGTTAATGAATGACAACGAATTACCAAGCTAATATGCACCCCAACACCATTCCTTAACCTGCCCTTATTTGAAAGCCCGGGAAAAAAAGTATTTAAAGGAGTATTTAGCTTCTGCATCAATGGCAATAACAACATCTTGCTAGTAGTGCGGGTTACCCAATAAATACAATTTCTCCATGTAGCTACCTCAGTTCTTAAACTTCTCTTGACAGGCGTGTCCCGTGTGCGACCTGCGCTGCTCGTGAATCCAACACTAATCACTGCAGAAAGATGTTTATGGAGCCGCATCAGAAGTGTCCCCAGCAGCTGGCATAGGTGTTGAGTGTGGCCAGAGCAAGTTGGGGTTCCCAGCCCTTGCCCTGGCTTCCCTCCTCCTGCAGCTGAAGGTGCTCAGAGCAGGCCGGGTCCCTCTTAGGAACAGACTCTGCAGCCCGAGCGAGGTCAGATTTCAGCTTATCGTCCCCGGGTTTAACCCTGCGGAGCTGCTCGGCAGTGTCTTCACTGGCCTTTCACCTTTGGAACAACCCGCTCTCGCTCACCCACCTCAGCTGAAATTTAACCACCACAGCACACCACGCAAAAGATAAAACCAACAGATCGTCAACGTTAGAAGTGTGCGCTTTGCGGGGCTGTGGCAGGCTGAGGTGGGATACTCTGCAGCAGGATGCGGCTCTGTGCCACGCTTCCAGGAAAGCGCTCCTCCTGTCCTTCTGAAAAAGCCAGGTCGCTACCTCCCACGGACCAACTCCTGTCTCAGAGAAGTCTGTGCCCTGAAATGCACAGCCGATACTCAGCACAGAGCACTCAAGGCTATTTTCAGGGCCCTGTGAGCGTCTGCTGTACATTAAAAACACTCCATTAACCCTCAGAGGCTGCGCCCTACCCTTCAATCACCGGTCACAGGCCTGCTCTGCTCTACTCAGCCAAACATAAGCCGCTTTTCTTGTAAGGTTCTTCCCGGCCTGACCTGTCCATCTCTCATTAACGAATCCAGACAGCATCTCCCAACTTTGAGCAGGCAGTAATACCACTTCTCCTCATGAAAGCTCGCCAAGAAGGACACGAACGACCAAGGGAACCTTCCAAGAAATCTTCGCACAAAACCCTTACCGCTCTGCTGCGAATCTCCTTCAAAATCCGTGTTGCCTTGGGCCCATTCACAGCTGCAGCCCCAAGCGCCGGCCAGCAGCGTTTCGGCTCCTCAGGAGCCACTGCCACACCGCTGCCACTCCACCCGCCATTCCTTGTCTTCCCTCGCCAGACTCAATCGACTCCTATCCCCAGTTTCTGCTTGGACTGCACACCCCTTCAAAGCCATCTGCGTTTGTCCACATCCACAATTCACATTTCTGTGGGCTAGGAAGGAGGGAGGCTCAGGCTGGGAGAGAACAACTGCTAAAACTTTAGCTGACAGAGCGGGTCAGACCTTATTTTCTCTTCGCTTGGTTCAACGTTTCTCGCTTTGCATACCCCACCAGAGAAAGACACTGGTGAAGCAGTATTTGGTGCAAAATCGGCACAGTAGTGGCTCCATCCGCATCTCTGTTCCTCCTCTGAACCCCTGTGCACAAAGAGGCACAAACAAGAAAGACCCTTTGAGAATAATGAGGACAGTCTTGATACCATAGGGCTGGTGTAGATGACGAAAGGAAAATAATTTTGAAAATGCACAGCACAGGGAAAAATAGGTTCCAAATCAAGATTTTTATTTTTAGGTATCTGCTGACAAGACCAAGAACATGGGATTTCTGCTGTGACGTTCGACTAAATTCAGTCCTTCTCCAAACATATGCATAGTAAGCACTAGTTGCATATCACACAACAAAATGCATAGGTAGGAACAAGTTAACGCCAAGAAAAAAAGAGAGGAGAAGGGGAAAAGCAATCAATCTTAGTAATAACACTATGGGGTATCTGGAAGAGAGTTATTTTTTAAAAATAATTAATCCCACATTCACAGAAAGACTCATTAAAAAAACAATCTCAAAAACATATTTCAAATACCTCATGTTGCACACTTGGAAATTTTGTAGAAGACTGCTTTCCAAAAAACTATCAGTAGAAAATAAGCACAGTTCATTACAGAAAAAAAGCTATTGCTGTTGTTGCAGAAAATAGGTTACTTCTCCAGCACATTCTTAAGTTTTCAAGTGTTTCATTTTTCTATTTAAAATTTGAAAAATGCAGCTGCTTTTCACAAGTATCTTCAAGGAGATCTTTCTCCCCCCAGAAAATGTAAGATGCTGCTAACAAACACAGTCACTTAAAGTAATTTTCTAACACTACTCATCTAGCATTTCAGATTACTAAGTGGTAAGTTTACTCTCCAGCAGTTTTTTTTTCCCCCTAGAAAACTCGTATTTCCATTAAAGTCTTCACTAACAACACTCTCAAACTCTATTAAAATCTTATTAACATCTATTTCCAATCATTAGTAAATAGTTTACTCTTCAAATAGCTTTACAGGGAGAAGTGCAATACTCTCATTTCCAAATTACACAGTCAGTTCCGACCTCTGATACTCAGACACGTGCCCTTTGCAGACGATAAGATTTTTGCCTATTTATGTCAGTACAAAATTGAGCCCCAAGGTATAAAACCCATTCTTCAATATAGTTATTGCAGTCTCTTACCAGAGTTAATCTTCTTGTCCCACCCACCGGAGATGCATTTATTTATTAGAAACATCAAAGATGTGAGACAAGGCACTCCAGCTCTTCCAGAGGGGAGCCATGAGAAACAATTCTTGTAATGAACACCATTCCTTACATTTACAAGGAAAGAAACCAGATTTGGCTTATTTCACTAAGCACTGATGAGCTTCACATTGTGGCAAGTACTTAAAGGAGAAGGACTGTGCGCAAATATTTTCTTCAGCCTTTCCTTTTGTGACCAACTGTGTCCTTTCTCAGCCTGTAAGAAGTATGACTCTTCACAGTAATCACTGTTTTACACCATGATAAAAATGTGCTTTTTTCAGGTTTTGTCAGCCTGATTTTGATTTCATCAATAGTACTTTATACTAGTTCAGTGGTCTTTATTCCTTATTTTCTGTCCTGTGAAATCTAAACCTCCCTGCCTGTTCCAGTGCCTTTTTAGCAGTTCATAACTGATACTTGTCATGTGTAAACTACAGTGGTTAGAGATTAATCAGTTAGTAAGCTGCATTTTCACTGGCATTTAAGATAAATTCAGTTCGCAGAAAAAAAAAAAAAAAAAGCAATTTTGCCCTTACTTCCATTTTTCTCACTCAAAAATTAAGGAGTATGTTGTGTTTTAAAACGGTGAATGATGAGAAAAAAAATAATCTGTGCAATTTCTATACTGCTAGCCACTAATTTTGGATCTGGATATGATCTTTCTACATTGTTATACAAACTTCATAATTACATGGTACCCTTATATACAGGTATGCATGCATTAGATGTGTAAATATACTGAAAAGCAGAAATACTAAATGCAAGGATGTTCAGGGT